CTAAGACATGTAAAGTTGCCACCTGTGACAATGGCATCCCGTATGGGTACCAGTGTGAGTCTCAGCTGCCCTACTTCCAATCCAGCTCCCTACTAATGTATCAGGAACAGTAGCAGAAGATGGCCCAAGTCCTTGGGTCCCTATACCCATGTGGTGGATGTGAAAGAAGCTTCTGGCTCCTGGCTTTGGACAGGCCCAGCTCTGGTTGTTGTAGTCATTTGGGAAATGAGTCAGCAGATGGAAGATCACTCTCTCTCTCTGCCTCTCCTCTCTTTCTGTAACTCTGCTGCTTAAACAAATCTTTTAAGAAAACATTTATCCGAGAGGCAGAGTCTGAGGATAAAGAGCCCTTTCCCCAAATGCCTGCAATGTCCCAGGCTGCAGAACTGAAGCCAGTAGCTAGTAACTCAATCCACATCTCCTGGTCCTGTAGGTGGCTGGCAGGAGGCTGATAACTGAGCCATCCCTGCTGCCTCCTGTGGTGCACATTACATAAGGCTGGAGTCAGGACTGGAGTGGAGCAGTGAATCCAGACATCCAGATATGGTTCATGGGCATCTCAATTGCTGGGTCAAATGTTCATCTAGACAATGATTCTTCCATGCAGAGAAATTAACTGCTAGATGATATCACTAAACATCAAAAGAAAGGCTGATCTCAACACCCAAATTCTATCTTATGGCTTACACACACAATGTAAACTGTTAACAAAATTACAAAATGTTTCCAAGAATGGCCTACAGATGTCTCTTGGTTTAGAATACCACACAAGCCATAAAATGCAACATGAAATGTACACTGAGATATTTACTTACTGAGGCCTTATTAGTCATGAGTAAACAATAATGCAGTAGGCATTCCTTCAAATGGGGGTTGGAAAAGTTTTATGAATAGCTCAAGTGGCCACATGAAGACAGCGATAATAATCATGGTTTACTGTATGCTGGGCACTGCTTAAATGCTTTACTTAAACCTATGCACAGTTAATAAACGTACAATAAGGGTGCTGACTTCCTTGTCCAGGAGGAGACTGAGATGGCAAAGCAACTAGCCCAAGTAACAGCTGGAATTTGAACTATGGCAATCCAGCTGCACAGCCCTTGAACTTGGTACTATAAGCTTAGTCCTTCCAAACCATCACCAAAGAACTTCCTCCAAAACATCTGAACTACCAGGAATAACTACAAACTCTTTAGCAACTACAGACCAGTTGGCATAGGATTACTCACTGCACTGTCTTTGCCCAATTGAGATATCCCTGAACTGTTAGGTAGCACCTTTTATCTGACACAGTATCTTCTGTTCAAATTTCCTTGGTTCTACAAATCAAACATGGTATGCTTAAATGAGTTTTATATAAGGGTTTACATAATATATAGCTTCTGTTCAGCAAACTATTCAACAATGCTAAAGAGCATCTCTAGGCAACATCCTCTTTAAAAGCTTATTCTAAAGAATATGTGTTAATCTTTGGGAAAGAAGATTATCAACTAACACAGTCATAATTATGTTGTATGTGTCTAATTTATACTATTTATCAGAGTTCTCTAATTTAGAGATATACAAAGGTCCTGTGGCTGGAAACAGGAATACTACTTGCAGCCAGTGCTACCAGTCTAGGATAGTAAAGACCAAACAGGCTTGGGAAATCAGTGCAGCTAGAAAGGTTCCAAACAAGAGAAAGAAAAAACTCTTCTTCTATGGTGGTTATTTATTGAGAATGAAAAATAACAAGATAAAATGACTACAAATAACAGATAGGTAACATCACACAGTATTAATCGCAAACAGCTGGGCAATGTTATTTTTAGTTAGGTGCAAAGCAGCTCACCACATTCACTTAGCAGAGACAGGTGCTTCAAGGATCCTGTCACTTCTACCTGCCAGGAAGAAGTCTCAATTCCTGACAGTAAGGAGGCACCATTTCAGAATTCCTGTTCTGAACAATATAAAAGTCTTCTCTTACTCCATCCCACAGAAATTCTTGCCAAGCACAGTGGTGCTTTCCTATAATTTACAAAAGTAGACAAGCTAAGAAAAAAAAAAGGACATATGTGTTGTACTTATGCGTACACGTACATGTTCTGTGTGTATATTCCCACAGCACCTGAAAGAAAATATTTTCATGCAAACGAGGAAATATTATCAAACTAGATCAAGAGGCAGGCCTCAAGACATTCTTTGCCCAACAGAAAGAACACCTGGAAACTTAGTTTCAGTTCAGGTTCTGGCACTTTTTCCGCCAGATTACTTCAGGCAATCCAAGTGCTGGCTGTTCCAGAGCCCTTGTCCTCTCCTCTACTAAACAAGCAGATGTTCTATGTTCACAGTAGTTCCTTCTAATTCCAAACATTGGTTTCAGTAAAATAAGGTTTCTGACTTAATATTAAGTGGATAAAGTAGAACTATTTCAAATCTTTAGTTAACTACATACAAGCACCAAAAATTTCAGCTTTTCTGCACTTGGAAATTCTCATTTAACAATAACCAGGAAGAGACTGACAGAATTCTGACTCCTTATGAAGGACTACACGATTGTAACAAAATGGGAATAATCCGATGAGCGGGGGTGGAAGTTTGGGGGGGAAAATCACAGCCAATACGAAATTGTACCACATAATTCAAAATTCAAAATAAAAATGAATAAAAAAACAATAACCAGGAAAAAGCAGACTTAATGCCCAAATGTAACATACTCATTTTCCAGTTACTTTACTTATTAACCACAGTGACTAATTCAGTGGATCATAGTATCAAGCTATCCTCAGGTAGTTTTACTGTCTTAAAAAGTAGGACAATGATAATTTCAGTAAAGCCTAATAGTATTTTCAGATTAAAAAAGCACACAATATAAAACATCAAATTTGGAAGTGATTAAAAGTAACATGATTCTGCACTGACACACCTCCAGCTATCACAGTAAAATGACAGTATTATCACACTTGCATTTATACAGTGATTTCCATTTTTCTGTCTCAATCCGTGTCACAGTCTGATGAAATAAAGGGAGTGGTACTTTTATCAAGACAGACCAGACCAGCTTAGAATGTTAATTAGCCTGCTAGCCTTTAATCAATAAATAATATTAGAGCCCAGACTTCAGGTGATTTTAAGTGCAATGATTTCAAAACCTTAAAAATCAGTGATGCAAAAACGAAGGCAGAAAGAAATTGGAAAAATGAGAAAAACAAAAGAAAAAACTGAGTAGTAGTCCTTGAATCAAAATGGAAATGAACAAAAAGAATGCAAGATCAGATTTGGTAGTTATTCAATCAATAAGCAAATTTACCACATGTTAAACTAACGATACACCCAACATTTATAATTTTCATCTAAAAAATGCTCATCATTTCATAGATGAGCACAAAACAATTGTATAATGAGAAAACAAGAATATTCAAATTGAATAAAATGATTAAACTAGCTACAGGTGGAACTGTAGTGTTTTACAACATGGGTGTTGAGTCCCAAATGCTCTGCTTCCAATCTGGCTCCTTGCTAAGGGGCCTGGGCAAGCAGCAGAGGATGGCTTGAGTGAGTGCTTGCCCTCTGAATCTTCTTGGAAGACAGGGGTGAAGCTCCTGGCTCCTGCCTTCCTCCTGGCCCAGCCCCTGCCTTGTGGTCATTTGGGGAACCCATGGATGGAAGATGTCTCTATTTCCCTCTACCTCTGTAACTGTGATTTTCAAATAAACACACACACACACAACCCTTTAAAAGGAGCTGTACAGTCTAGCAGAGAGGGTTAAATAATTTAAGAAAAAAACAGCTATAGGTAAACTGTTGATAGGCATCAAATTGCTCACTGAGGTATTTCAGGCAGCTGGTTCTATGCATATTTCCTTCTGGAAGGGGACTCACAGGAATTAAACTAGGAACCAACTGCATGGAAGGTTAGATTCCCTCACAGGAAACAAAAAGGCTTCAGTGGTTTGAAATAATGCAGGCAAGGAAATCAAATATTAAAGACTTCCACTTTGAAGTCAGCACATACCAAAGCTTAAGGGAAACAGACTCTAGAATGCATATGTGCTGCCTAGCAAGGACAGTTTCTCTTTATCATCCCCTCTGCCAGGAACTAAGAAGACAGAACTAAACTCAGACCTAATGAAAACGCACTTAGCAGGTGTTAGCTTCGGGAATAGAACATCCTGTGTCATGACAACACCAGAAATAACATATGCTAGCTTCTCGGGATGACCCAGGCAACCTCAACAGATCTCTGAAAGTCCCAAAGGAGAACTGAAAGACATTTAGAAGAGCAACGCGGACAAGGTATAGGACAGTGCTGGTCTAGCCAGTATCAGACTTGCACGGAGTTGTAGGGAAATAATGACAGCTGTGCACGATCTCTCGGAGGTTGTCACACTCATTTAGCCGTGAGACACTAGGCCACGTGTGGCTTCTTAGAATCTTAGGGACGGAGATAAAGCCGACCTTCGACCCTCACTGCAATGAAACCCAGGGGTCAGGACGAGGAGCTGGCCGAAAAGTATTTTTTTTTTCCCCAAGAAAGTGGTGACAGATCCCAACAGGTTTTCGGCCAAGGTTCTCAGAAGCGAAGGCCCATTTCTTGGACCACCGAGCACCACCAGCGCCTTTGCACTTGCACTATGCAGAGCCTGAATCTTGGTCAGGAGCGGGGACATTCAGCATCACGCGACAGTGGCCGCGGAGAGCACGAATCAACGTGACAACGATGCCGCGGGCGAGCTCGGTTACCACCAGGCACGATACCGGACACCGTCAGACACAAGCCACTGTCCTCCCAGCGCTCCGGCGTGTCGGCCACCAACCCTAAGTGTCCTCAACAGCCCGGCTGCCGTCAGCCCGAGGCACCCCGAGTCAGCACCCCACAGCGCTGCTGGAAGTCGGAGTCCAGGTGCCCCAGATCTGCACCGCCTGAAGCAGGACGGCGCTGGCACAAGCCACACGCTCGGAGCCTCGCTTCAGCCCACTCCTCCGGTTCCCGTCCCGACTCGACGCGTTCATTTACCTACCCGCTCCGACCCCGGTTGCTCCGGATTCTGGAAGCGGCTCTGGACCGACTCTCACACCCGCCGCTGGGCTCCAGCCAACCGGAACCTGTGCGCGTCACTTCCGGCCCTCTCCCCCGCCTCCCCTCTTTAGAGGCGGCTTCCGAGAGTGTGTGAGAGAGGGAAAAAAAAGCGTTCCTTCCTCCTTTCCGGCCGCGGCGGGTCCTCGCGGGATTTCGATGGGGCTGCGGGTTCGGGGCCTGGCGTGGGGGCGTGGCGACGGGGCGCTCTTGATCCGGAACTCGTCGTGAGGGAGCGCAGGAAGAGGTCGCTCCCGCGGCTGCGGCGTGTTCGCTGTCCAGAAGCCTGGAGCGGGTCGGTGAGGGACAAGAGGTACGCCGGGTACGTAGGTTCTTCCTGGGGCGAGGAGGGTCCCCGCCGCGTCCGAGCGCTTCTTCCCGCTTCCATGCCACGGCCATCCCAGTCCGCCCAGTAGTAAACTGGCCTCCGCCCCTGGGGGGTCCGTGGGGGACCCTCCCGGCCCCGTGCTCGGCCTCCCTTTTGAAGGAGCGTCCAGAAGCTCTCCTTTCCAGCTCGGTCCTCCTCCCAGGGTGCGGGTCGCTTCTTGGGAAGAGCTGGTTTCTCATGAGGTGGAAAGAAGTGTTCTCCCGCCCTGTCCTGGAGTTACTGCCTGAAATGCTCTTTAATCCTTGAGCATGTGTCCCCCGACCCCAGCGCTGCGAGTTTGGGAAGGCCCAGTTGTTTCTTCTCCCTGAACCCGCTTTGGCTTGGCTTTGTGATCATTTGGGGAGTGAGCCAATATATAGATGTCTCTCTTTCCGCTCTCTCTCTGACTCTGAAAATCATAAATGAATCTTTTAAGAAAAGGGGTTCAGCGCTGCGACTTGCAGCGCAGGCATCCCATATGGGAAGCTCCACTTCTGATCCGGCTCCCTGCTTGTAGCCTGAGAGGGCAGTAGAGATGGCTAGAGTCCTTTGGACCTTGTACACACCCCCCCGTGGGAGACCTGGAAGAAGCTCCTGGCCTTTGCCTGGCCCAATTCCTGCCCATGCAGCGATGGAGGACCTTTCTGTCTCCTCGCTCTGGTAACGACCTTTCAAAAAAATGTTTTAGTTTTCAACATAAAGAACACGTTTGAAGTACTTCATAAGCCTGTAGGTGGTGAAATCCAGCAGTAGCTGGAGGGTCCAGCTGGGAGTCAAGGAGAGGATCCCACATTCCTGATGATTTGGGAATAAGATTGTTCTGACAGATTGTTGCCCCTTCCCACTAGAATGTTGGCTGGGTAAGGAGAGGGATCTTTTGTTTTTTTATTTCCAGGATCAACAAGCTTGTCTGGAGCATAGTAAGTCCTCAGCGAATGATCAGGAGGTGGCGGGCTGCTGGTTTCCACCTGGCCCAGTATTGGTGGCCCAATGGCTGTTGTAGCTATTTGGGGAATGAACCAGAAAATGAAAGTTCTTTCCATAATTCTTTCAAAATAAATCTTTAAAAGAAAGAGAGCATATAAACCTATCCTGTTCAATAGAACTTTTCTGTTGAAAATGTTATGTTTTACCAGTGGAAAGTCACAAGCCACATTCAGGTTGTTGAGCTATTTAGAACTTTAAATGTAGCTGAGTGCAACTGAAGAATTGAATTTCTATTTAGTTTAAATTCATCTACATTTACATGACCACATGTGGCTGTGGCTGTTGGACACAACAGTATAGAAACACTAAATTAGGGGCCAAATATGTAAGCATTGTATTACATCCAAGGCATTTAATGTGTGTAAAATTAAAAGTTTATTTGGTGAATTAAAAAAAAATCTCTGCATAAGAAGGCGGCTCATGAGAAATGAGTGGCAGGCATTCAGTAACTTGAACCATCTTTTCTACTTTCCAGGGTTTACATTGGCAAGAAGCTGGAATCAGGAGCAAAGCCAGGTATAAAGCCCAGGTACTTTGATGTGGCTTCCTTGCCTATTGAAGTGGCCTTTTATGAAAATAGCGCTAGAAAGGATTTCAAGTGCAGGAAGAGGTGCAGAGTTCAGTTTGGTAGATGTTTCAGAAAGTATCTAAAAAGTAAAGACTTACTTTATTAATTAAAAAGGGAAGAAGGATGATCTTCCTTTGTCTTAAGTGATTGATATTTACACTTTTGGAAAACTCAGTAAATATTAAAATGGCAAAAATTACATTGGGCTCATATGGGAAACACAGCCCATCTATTATAGTGCTACTGGTTAATTTCTTTGTTCCCCAGGGAGAAGTGAGGGATTGGAACCACCAGAACAGCTGCATTTTGAATATACAAATAAGCATGGGACATACTGTTATTGTTTAGATCCATTAGGTATCTTGATAAAACACATTTCCTTTCTCTCCAGGACTCAGGAGAGCCTGGGGATTTTTGAGCTAGACAGGTATAGTTCCATCAGCATTTAAAATGTGCTGGATATATGTGCTAGAATGTTTCTAGTACACAGGGGATGGGTTGTATCAGGGGACATGGCTTAAGACTCAACCTGTCTGACAAGTCTGGAACTTTCACTCCCCCATATTAATGTTTTTCCTTTCTCTTAAGATGCTCTCCAAACCCTTGATTATGGAATATCTGGCTCATCCTAGTGCACTCAGCTTGGCTGCTGGAGTTGCCTGTGGTGTGTGCCTGGGCTGGGGCCTCCGAGTACGCTTTGGGATGATTCCCAAAAGATCAACAAGTGAAGCAGACACAGAGAGTGACACTGAAGAGACCATCTTGGGAGAGAGTGAGGAGTATAAAATGGTTCTTGTGGTTCGAAATGACTTGAAGATGGGAAGAGGAAAAGTTGCTGCCCAGTGTTCCCATGCAGCAGTGTCTGCCTACAAGCAGATTCAAAGGAGAAATCCTGAAGTGCTCAAACAGTGGGAATACGGTGGCCAAACCAAAGTGGTGGTCAAAGCCCCTGACGAACAAACCCTGATTGAATTATTAACCCATGCAAAAATGCTAGGACTCACTGTCAGTTTAATCCAAGATGCTGGGCGTACACAGATTGAACCGGGCTCACGAACTGTCCTAGGAATTGGGCCAGGACCAGCAGATCTAATTGACAAAGTTACCGGCCACCTAAAACTTTACTAGGTGAACTACCAAGGAGACTTCCTCGAGCAAGTGTGTGAAGTGTGTGGAATTCTAACAATAGAATCAATTTCTTCCCAGTTATTTTGAGGTGAAAATAAAAGGCATTCCTTTGTTCCTGTATCATATGATTGTCTGGTAGCTGTTATCTTGGACGTGGTTAAATGGATTTGGTGGTTCAAGCAGTGGTTAATAATAATAGGTGATGAAATCAACACTTTAGGTGAGAGCAGCCACTCATGATAAAATGAGGTTGAAATGGGTGATCTGTGCTAGGATCAGGTCTTTGTGTTGCTGCTTCCCTGTCTCCTGTCATCTGCCTTTGGAGTTCAAGAGCATTGTCATGGATTCAAGTTGTACTTTGTTTCCCTTTAATTAAATGGATTGCCACCCTGAATGGTCTTACGGTTTTGAATCTAACCCGATTCCGTCTCAAAGTTTTGAGATTTTACAGCTTTAATTCTCTTATGTACATTTTCATACCCATGTCCCTTGACCCACCATTGGCCACAGGTTCTCTCATCAAGAGATAAAAGCCTACATAAATTCATTCACTCCCCATTTCCTGTAACAGTGAAGCCATTGAAACTTGGAGTGACCTTATAGACTTTGTAAGTCCATATGAGAATTTAATTTATAGTAAATAAAAATGAATGTAAATGTTTCCCTAGAATTCAAAGAACCGTTATTCCAGGGCACCATTTTTCCTGTTTTTACCTAACTCTGTAATATGAACCAGAAGGTCCCAACACTCCAAAGCCATTATGATCCCTAATATTTTGCTAGTCCTGTAGAAGCATTCCAACGGCAATTTCTAAGTTCACTAAACCTTTAATAGTGGTAATGATTCCAGGGAGAATTCTTTCATGATAATTTTCAACAAGAACCAGCAAGACTATTTCAGAGGGTCTATGGCCAATGGTGTAGTCTGAGCCACACAGACCGAGGATTATGGCAGTCAACCTTAAGATTTGGTCTGTTAGGCTATGGCATCTTCATTGCGACTATGAGTGATGCCACAGTAGCAACTGTTTCCAAAAGAATGTTTATACTGGGTTCATTAGTGATGCAACAACATGTAACTGAATTGAAGTCAACTGTGAATGCATCAATTTGGCTTAACTAACTTCTGAGGTTTGCCTTCAAATTCAGACTGTTCATTCCCAGCAGAATGGGCTGGAGTGGCTGATTCAAGAAACTAATAAAATCATATACTCCATTTTGTATTATGTAACATTTCTGGTCATTTCAGAAATATGTTCTGCTTGCTTTCTTCTTCCATATACTTGTATTTAGTTTATAGGACTGAGTTAAATACTTAAGACCTTTTTGCAGGGTGAGAACATTTTTCCTACCATGGGAACATTTTCCCTATGTTGAAATTCCCACTGCTTGTCCATACCACAGATCAAAATGGGGGTAACTACCTGGATGGTTGGTTAACACAGTAGTCTTCATCATTTGTAATGTCTGAACGTGCTGTGTAATGATAAGCATTTCTACTGCACACCAACATTACTGGTGCTGTCTTCAGATGTGTTATTGAGTCATGAGCTACTCCAGCTGCTTTTGACATGGAACATTTTTATGAGCAGCAACTAAAGCTGGCAGCTACTTCTTCATATAAACCAAATGAGCCAGTCATATCTAGGAAAACTGATATTATTTTGGAAGATTTATATCTTTAGTCCTGAACTTAAGTTTTAATGAGATCAGTGTTCCTCACACAAAACTATGTAACAAAATATTCCATCTTTCCACTTTTCAAAAAAAGATGTTAAAAGATCACCAGTCTGTCTCTTACTACTGAACTGAGGCCACACTAAGATACTGTGGCACTTCCAAATGCTTGTAGAAATATGCAAGGAAAAAAATATTCTAGCACAAAAGTATTTGGAGGTGAGGTACATATGCAATTTTTTTATAATATGCATTGTCCTAGAAACTTTGTGAAGACTTCTCACAAGAACAGATTTCATTTTTTTTTTGCGTTACAATGGGCTTTTAATCTTTTAATTCCACCTCCTATATATTTAAGAGCCCTAGTAGCTGTCATTATATTTATCTATACAGTGGGTAATATCTGCATACCAAGCAAGCAAAAGTCACTTGCCACTTAAGTTTTGCATACTAAATACCCATTTTCTGTTTCCAATTCAGTCTTTACAGATCATCATTTTAGGTGAGTTATCGATTTGTTCCACCATTGTCCGTATACTTAATGGCCCAATCTTGAGTTAGTCATTCTGTGATTTAAACATAACCTATGGGAAAAATTCTTGTAAAGTACTCTGTGGGTCCAGAGCAGTAGCCTAGCGGCTAAAGTCCTTTCCTAGCACACGCCAGGATCCTATATGGTTGCCAGTTCTAATCCCAGCAGCCCCACTTCCCATCCAGCTTCCTGCTTAAGTCCTGGCAAAACAGTCAAGGACAGCCCAAAGTGTTGGAACCCTGTACCCACATGGGAGACCCAGAAGGGTTTCCGGGATCCTGGCTTTGGATCGGCTCAGTTCCAGTCACTGTGGCTGCTTGGGGAGTGAAACAGCAGATGGAAGATTTTCCAGTCTCTCCTCTCCGTATATCTGACTTTCCAATATAAATAAATCTTTAAAAAAAATGACTCCGTGTTAATAACATATAGAGTAGGGAACAGGCTTAACTCTGGATTGAATGTAATTCATACAACAGCAGTTACTATCCACTGCAGCCCATTGTTGGATGTTGTAGCTGGCAACTCAGTATTACAGGACGTAGCACAGAACAAATTAAGGCTCTCTGTTGCTCAAAAGTAAATAAGAAAAAAAAGCACGCTGTCAGAAAACCTTTTCTGAAAGAATGCATAAATTGATTCTGTAGGGAAACAATCATTGTACTGATAAAAAGCCAGAACTATTCACCCTGTTGAGTTTTCCAATTAATACTATACTTTCCTTGAGGAAGAGAATTACAAGTGGAAGGAGGGTAGGCCTAACTTTCCTCTCTGCCCTCCTGTGGTAATCTGCCTGACAGTGGTAGAGCAATACAAAGCTACAACATGTAATAAGGATTAAGGAATAATGAAATAAACTGAAGTTAACACTCACCCATAAGAGCTGAATGCACACACAAGTTAAATAGACAAAGTCATGTGAAATGATCCATAATTTGTGCACCCTTACAGTTCATGGCGAGAAACAGCATGTTAACTATGTGTTTAAATATACTTTTATTTCAAGTTAACATAACTTAACACCCATGATTTGTTCATTTAAAGTGAAATGATTTGATAAAAACCTAAAATGCCACTGGGTTAAAATGTTATCTGAGAGGAAAAGTAATCCACTATAGTAGTGACTGGTTCTTCAGACTATTTTATGTTCCTCATTAACTATAGGAATGCACGTGACATAATACAGTGTCTTCCAATGTCCCAATCTTCACTCCTGACTCTCTGTGCTGCCTTGTATCCAATTAGAAACTACCAAAGTTAGGATTCTTCTGGTTTAAGAGGTATTTCATTGAAACTGTCATTCTGCATGGTATTTCCACAGTCCAGTAATTTATTTTAAATTGGAGTAATTTCAAATTCCACAAACAAAACTGAATAACAGCAATATTTTGTTTGAATTCTCTTCTGTACACTCAGTGATCTAAAACACCACAATATCCAACATACACAAATCTCAGGGAAGGGTTAGTAAATACACACAAGATTGGAATCATGGTGCTCTTTGTTCCTGAATGGAATGGTCCCACAGAAAAAGCACAGGATACAGCACAACATAAGGGCACCTGTTACATATGAGGTGAGCAAAACACACTAGCAGTTTCTATATGCGTAATAGGGAAACCTGCATAGGTTAGAGGGCCTTTTATGCTCATTTTAACATCAGGCAAGTTGTCTGTACGCATTTTTCCAATAATGTGGAGAGCACTGCAATCCAATGCAGATCTGCTGATTAGTGTTGTCTTTGTCGGCACTGACAGTCTTGCATGGTCACATACCAGTATTTTTGCTGTAGCTTTTCTTTGAATAAAAGACTTAAATGCATTTAGACAATACATATTGTAAGCTGTTTACATACACTAAATTTAAGAGATTCAGTATTGGAGTTTCTTTGCTTCTTTAAACACTACAGAGTGCAAATCAGGTTCTTCACAACAGATTGATTAAGCAGTTCTTGAAAGAATGCAAAGGGCGAAAACCCCCCAAGTGAATAAAACACTGAAACTATTCCCCTTTGAAAATAAATTCTAAAATGATGCGGAATGTGAGATAAAGTTTTAACATAGATGACCCCAGTTTATAGTTAGAAATAAAAAGCAGTCCTTCATGAAATAAAGGTTACGAGAACACATTGCCTAGTCTTCCCCCATTCTAAACTGAGAAGTGGGTAGACGATGTTTCAGTACGAAAATAGGTGACTACAGGATCAGCTTTCCAGCTTACATGCTGTACCCAAAGCCAGGCTGTGGCTGCCCATAGGGTGGGGCAGTATAGCCATAACCAAAAGGTGCCTGGGGAGGAACTGCAACACTGGGTCCTGCTGTTAGCATCAGCTGGGGCTGACCTAAATAAAAGAAAGAGAAAAAAAAATTGGAGCAGGGACAAAATAAAGTGTTAGCATGTTAAGACTACAATCAAGTCTATTTCCCCAAAGCAGGCAGCATAACCACAGCTGAGAACTGCAGCATCTGACTCAGGATCTCATGCTAAGAGTCTTGCCTAAAAAAAACCAACAAATACACATCTGAGAACCAGAACCTGGTAAAATTTAGAGTAATGTGCACATGTTGTGACTGATGGGACCAGGTGAGACAATTGTCAACAAACCTATCACCATATTTAGTGACAATAAAATTAACTTCTAGCTAATGTTTTAACAGAATCCAACTTTTAAAATTTGACTTAAACATATCTAAGCAATAAAAAGCAAGACATCGAAACATGCATTAGAAATAAAATATTCTGGAGTATGAATTACATTAGAACATACGCCATCTACCAACTACATGCGCTACGGTGTGTTAACACTTTCTTGTGAAACAACCATTGCCTACATAGAGAAAGTGAGACCAGTAGAGGAATACAAGTTATTACAGAGAAAACACATTGTGTTGCTCCCTGCTGCTTCAGAATGCAAAATCC